ACCTCGGTGCGCCCACTATCACTCGCGCGGCTGCATTCTGGACTAACTGCAGTTGCCGGATGCACTTTAAGGGCAACCCCATGTAGAGCCCATTGCAGTATTCCAGAGACGTGCACTGCCCAATGTTAAAGAAAGGTTTTCTTTTCCTTGGCTTCCTATAATTTTTCTTTTCTTTTTTCAGACGATGAAATAGAGGCTAGTTTTCTTAAGGATTCTCCTGTCTTCTTTTTCTAGTCTTATTATTTAACGTTTGGACCAGTGGATACCAGATCAGTAAGGATTGAAATCAGATAAATCTGCCTGTGATGAGAGAATACCCATTCACTTACTTGCTTACTTATAACGGTTTTACTTCACTCACATTTTTTAGAAGCTTTTAGTGACAGGAAGGCAGTAGCTTAGTAACTTTCAAAGAAGAGAAGCCCCTCATGTTTGCCTGGAGATAAGGCTGAATTCTGAATCTTTTCCATACCCGACAAGGAAACTCCTGTGTGGACAAGCAATTGATTTTTGTGTGGCCATGGCAGCAGAATCTTACTAAAAATTGACCTTGCTGATATTTGTAGAATCGCTGTCCATAATCATCTAGCTGCTGATTGTGGTCGGTGAAAGGAAAGACTGGTAGAATATTCTCTGCCAAGAGTCCTTGGTGAGGCATGTCGACTGCTTTAATAGGGCATGGGAGTTCCGCACGTAACCTGACCTCCCAATTCAGAGCAGTCCCCAGCTCCATTGTCTGGAAACTGAAGCTCTCTCGTGAATCTCTCCTTATTTCTCTTCTGTACAGTCAGTGCTGGCTTCTGGTTCTGCAACAGTGGATGCAGTTGTCTCCACAGCTCCGGAACAGACTGGACCTCTGGAAAACAGGTGGCAGTTTTGAATCCTTTGAGTCCTTTCCCAGGTGCAGAATGATATATTTTTATCTCAGCGTGGAGATGTCTCTAATGGACTCCTTTGCTAGTCCTGCTCTCCACTGCCTCTGATTAGTAGGGCATCCGGAAGGCAAGTCTCTTCATCTGCAAAGGGTCCCTGCGGAGGCTGGAGTGGGAGATAGCAAAAGGTGATTCGGAAACTCAGCTTTAGAAAAATTTGAGACAGTGTCAATATGGTCATGCTGAAGTGTAAACTTTGTGCTCTGAGCAATACAAGGAACAGCATCTCAGCTTTCTGGTGTGTGGAAGTTGACACTTGGTTTATAACATTCCATATTTTGCAAACTTGCACCAGAGGTGGGTTGCTGATTTTTTCACTACCGTTTCTGGGGCGCGCATGACGCTTCTCCACATGTGCAGAAGCGTCCGGGGGGGGGGGGGGAGCCTCCCGCCACGGCTACTATCAGTTCGGCCCAACCAGCAGCAACCCACCTCTGACTTGCACCAGTATTCTTTGTCAAAAGAAAAGCTAATGGGGACATTTTCTCAAGTGGCTGATGGTCCCTGTGTGGCATTTAACAAGAAAAGCAGGGCTGGATTGTTCACAACTGTCAGCACTGCTATCTCATCCTCACCCTCCACCCTCCACCTCCTTGTCTTGAGAGTTTCTGAGCGTCTGAATGAGTTGAAATCAGTGGCCCTTCTGGGTCCAAAGAAGAAAGCCCTGACTTCGCTGCTTGTTTGCCTGTGATCTCTTCAATGTTTAGGCAACAGAAGAAACTTTTCAAAGCTCTGCAAATGACTGAGACTCCGTCCGTCTGCTGTGGCCCTCCAGCTTTGGGCTTTGGACAGCAACAGCTTCCTGTTCTGGTAGGAAGCAAGTCAAATTTTTGAACGGCAGTTTCCTCATCTTCATCCCAGTTGTGTTACTTAGCAACAATCAGAATGGGTTGGATGGCCCTGAAGAGAATGTGAACTCCAGACAGTTTTCTTCTGAAAAGAAGGGCATTCCAACCCATTGTGTAGACTATGAGAGCAGAAATCTGGGGTTGAAATACCTACGCTTCATATCTGGTGTAAACGCCTGAAGGGGAAGGCTTGCTTGAGCCATGGGCCCATCCCTTACAGGAAGCCAGACGGGATCCATCTGGGCCCTCCAGGTCTCTTTGGCACTGTCGTCAATGTCATGTTCAGGTCAGTTTGAGATCAGGGTCTTCAGTGATGGCCTGAATTTTTCTTTTCAGGACCACGTGGGATTGGAAAAGGAGATCCGGGATGCCATCTATATTACTATAGAGATCCTGTCCAACTGGGGAGACGTGTCCCGTGTGGGTCTCACAGAAGTGGAGTTCTTTGATTTGAATTTTGAGAGAATGTTTGTGTCACCTCACGATGTGGACATCCGACATGCGGATCCACCTGGAGAGCTGAGCTGCTTAGTTAACCGAAGCACAAATGTAAGCCTCCCATGGTTGATTTTTAAGGAACAGCAGACATAATTTTCCACACAGGTTTAATTATTTATTTTCTATGGCCGTCCATCTCAACCAAGTGAATCTGCCCCAGGGGTTGTTTATTTCTAAAACAGCTGCCGTCCAGGTTGAAGCTGGGTTCTTGCAAAGCTTTCCACCCCTTGGTGGGAGGTCAGTTTCTGCTTATTCTGCTCAGGTAGTGGCTATGATGTGATGGGCATGGTTACTTCGGAACTAAAGCTTTGCTACCTGTTGCAAAGAACCAAACCTACTCCACTTACTTCAGTCAAGTTCCAGGGCCTGTGGATTGCACAGAGGCTGTGAGCTCAGCAGTCGGTTTTAATAACAAGCATAAGAACTGCAGTAAATAGAGACAGAAACAACATATCTTCCACTTAAAGAGTAGTAGTTGTATGATAAAAGGTATAATGAAATTTTGAATGGGCATGTTTTACTGTGGTGAGACTATGACCTTTTTTTTAGGCGAATGGATTCCGTCCCGGGAAAAAGGAGGTGATCAGAAACGCTAATCCTCACTGGTAGCCCCTTGGCATTCTTACTAGCACTAAAGCGGATTAGGCTGAGCAGGTCAGCCTTGGAACTGGCCTCCCACTTTCAAGCAGAGACAGAGCAAGCCAGAAGGAGCGCACAGCTTTTCCTCTCGCTGGCTTCTTTCAGGGGTCCCAGAGCCAGTGCTGTGCTTCGTTGCGGGGTGACAGGCCAACCATCAGCTTCCTTGTCTTGTAGGTCCCCCGAGAGCTTCTCCCCTGGTCATGCCTCTTCCAGCCTCCAGTGCAGCTGTACTTTGTTGTCCGAAACCCCAGCCTCTCCGGAGACTTTGGCCTCTCCAGGATCAGGATCTGGAACTACAACTCGACCGTTGGTGGTGTAAGTGACTGCTCTAGTCTCAGGGGTCAGAGCTTCGCTTTTTCATACTAACCTGTGTTCTAGAACAAGGGAAGAAGAAGGGAGGGGGGCAAAGGGGCCACGATTGAGGTCACTTTTATTTGGGTTAATTCTAACATTATGTTGAAATTATTCTATTTTTAAAACAAGGTTGAAATGTTACGTTGCTGCTGGAAATGTTTGGCCATGGAAAGTTTTTGTATGAAGGTGCTGCCTCCTGAGGCCACTGAGCTCTTCTAGAAGGCTTCTTCCCCTTCCGTTTGGGAACTCCAGGTGGCCCAAGAGTGGCACTAGTGACACGCTGTGCTTATTTGTGGAGGGAACAAAATCCAAGTCCTGCTGCCCCGAGTCTAATGACTTCTGCAGAGAGAGCTGCTTTGTTTGCTTTGGTTCCAGCTAGTCCACACATGGCAAAGAGGATTTAACGAGATGGATTAGAGAGAAGCAAATCCTGATCCTTTACGACTTGTTCTCAGCTGCGCACTTAGCAAGAGGTGTTGGTACCTCTTCTAATTCAATCTGCTCGTGGGATTGTCATGTGGTTTTCCAAGGTTTTCAAATGGCATTTGAATCAGAAGCCCCCCATTTGACTTCTTGAGCTCAGCCTTGCGTCTTTGGACTGACCTCTCCCGATGTGTTGAGAAGAGAGCCTAACTTCGGAGAGATCTCTTGGGCAGTGAGGGGGGGGGGGGGGCTGTTCTCCAGAAGCTTAGGGAAGGTCAGTGGAAGACTGAAAAGGGGAGGGAAGTCATCCCAGAATGAAATGCTTTGTAGGGAAAATCCAGCCACCTTGTCATCAAGCACAGTTTAGGGTGCCATTCTAAACTATGTTCAACCCAAAGTGGATTCCCCGATCTGCCTTATTAGGAGAAAAGGCTGGTCAGGTTGAGGCGAATCCTTACAGTGCAACCCCCAAAACAAACCACCTTGTTCCTGTTCAGAGTTATTTGTGCCAGCCGGGCCAGAGCCAAACGTGGATGGGTTCACCCTTTCACTTTCTTCTGCCCTCCTCCTCCTTTTCTGAGCAAAGAACTTGGAGGAGCAGCTTTGGGTGGTGAGGACATGAGAAACAGGAAGGTTGTAAATGAGACTTAACCGTGTTGCCTAGTCTTCCAGGACCCATCCCAAACTCAAAGCCAGATGAAGGAAGACTTCTAGCCATTTCTCAACCCATTTCCTCTGCACGTTGTCTGTTTAATTCTTCAGATCTCAGCAGGGGCCTCTTCAGTTTTCTCCCAATTAGAAACACGTACATCAGAATCTGGAAGTTGGCTTTTGCTTGCCCATCAGAACATCTTTCTTTGTCTCACTAGGATCTGAACATTGGAGCAAGGAATATTATTGTATATGTTGATGGGTGTCTGATCTTTGCTGGGGAACTGCAGAAGGGCTGCTTGGCTCAGGATGCTGATGGCAATGGCTGCACTTCCATTGATCTCCCAACCAACCTTCCTCCAAAGGGAAAGATAGACAAGAACTGGACTTCTGCAGACCCAAGAGAGGAGCTGGACAAGCTGCTGCTGTTCGATTGGAAGCCTTCCGTAAAAGAAAACTGCCTTGAGGAGAAAGAGAGAGCCTGTGATTCTGATCTCCAACCCAGCCCAAACATCAGCAGCCTCGTCTCACTGGAGGCTGCAAGGTGTGTCTTCCCTGGGGATGACGGTTCCCTAAGTGAGGAAACAGAGGAACGTTCCCAGCCAGACAGTTTGAGCTCCCCTGGTATTCTGACCCCTCCCGAGACAAAGGGGGAGATGCAGGTTAGCTGTGGAAAGCAGAAACTGCCTCCTTTGGGATTACAAGTCCAGCTGCCTTCAGAGAGCATCAAGAGAGACTGTCTAAGAACACCTGATGGGGGTCTCCGTCTCTCTCCAACTGAGGAACATCAACCCAGCAGCGAGGCCCCAGAGGCAGGCGAGAGACCCTCAGAGGAGAGTCAGGAGTCCATCCCTGACCTGGATTTCTTGAAACCACTTCTTTGTAAATACAGTGGTCCGGGTGAGCTGCTTCCCCCTGATCGAGATCTTGGAGAGAAGGAAGAATTCAGCCACCCCTTCTATAGAGAGAAAGCTGCCCTTGACCAAGGTAAGAGCTGATGCCCACTAGTCAAATTCTCTCTGATCTTCTAGGGATTGTCTGCTTACCCACATTTTGAGCAGAATCTGACCTTCCCGTGCTCTTCCTGAGCGTTACAGGCTGCTTGCTGCTCTTGTTTTATTTGCCTATTTTGTTTAGAAGATGCCTCCCCTTCATCATCTGACACTAATTTTTCCCTTTCAGAGGAGCCCTTCCCGGCCAAGGGCAGCACGAGGCCCTCGAGAGCCAAGTGGGGCACCTCGCAGGAGCACATGCTGCAGGAATCTTGGAATTCGTTATCGAAATTCAATCATTCACATCGTGGTCGAATCTCCAATATGGATTTCCAAGGTGACATTTTTGATGAGTTTCTCCATCAGCAGAAAATTAGCCGGCAAGAAGATCAGAAGTTCATGATAAAGGACCAGACACGGGGGCTGCCGGTGCAGAAGAAGGCAGACAGCTGCATAGACCTGGAAGATGAGAGCGAATTTAAAATCCCCGTCTTACCGCACGGTCAGCACTTAAACATTGACATCAGGTCAACCTGGGGAGACAGACACTATGTTGGTCTGAATGGACTTGAGCTGTTTAGCTCAAAAGGTGAGCCCATCCAGATAGTAAAAATCACAGCCAGCCCACCTGATATCAACATCTTGCCTGCATATGGCAAAGACCCCAGGATTGTAACTAATCTCCTGGATGGAGTGAACAGGACACAGGATGACATGCACCTCTGGCTGGCTCCCTTCACTCCAGGAAAGTCTCACTGTGTTTACCTGGACTTTGCAAAGCCATGCGAGGTAGCCATGATTCGCATCTGGAATTACAACAAGTCTCGCATCCATTCCTTTCGGGGGGTGAAGGACCTCTCCATTCTCCTGGATGAACGCTGCATTTTCCAAGGAGAAATTGCCAAGGCTTCAGGGACACTAGCTGGAGGTAGGAGGCTTGGGTTTTCAAAGCGGGAGGGGCATTGGAGGGGTAGATCTTGGCCCTGGTCATCCAACTAGCTAGGCTTCCTCCTTTCCTCTGCTGATTGTACCAATGAGAAGTAGACTTTTCATTGAAGCCAATAGTAAGCTGGAGGAACAACTTTACTCATCCATTCTGGTTTAGTTTGACTGGTATTCCAGTGCTCAGCTTTTGTATCCAAGGTTGCCTGGTGGAAGAACCTTGGATGCTCTGTGGTTGCGCCCACTCATACAGGACGCCAGGGCAATCAGACAGGGCCAGGTAGAAGTCAAAGTAAATGAAGTTGTAACAAGCTAGTAAAAAATCCCACCAAAGCATATACTAGTCCTAGACACCCTACAGGGCCTCTGCAGAAGGCAAGTTCATTCAGGACTCTAACCGGGTGGAGGCATCCTGACTTTTTCCTTATAGCCGTTTGTGTTCTTTATTGCAGACATAGGCTTCTGACTTCCATTAGCTGGATCAAGGCAACATCGTAATACAGACTTAAGATTTTTTTTTATTTTAATTTGTGGATATTCCTTCCTTCCCTGCATGAGTCTTTATATTTACTTCCAAGAAGGCAGAGGAGCAGGAGGAGTGGTTAATCTAGTGGGTATTGTCACCATAAAGTTAACCATGTTTCAGGTCCAGAGCAATTTGGAGACACCATCCTGTTCACAACCGATGAAGACATTCTTGAGGCCATTTACTGTTACGATGAGTCCTGCGAGGAGGAAGTTGAAAGCAGGGGCAGCCTGGGCTACGAGGAGGAGCTGAAGAGGCCGACAACAGCGGATGGAGAAGGGGATGAGAGGCCCTTCACTCAGGCGGGTTCCAGGACAGAAGACAAGCCAGTGAGATTCCCAGCTGTGGAAGGGGGCTTTCTCTGGGAATTAAGATGGGGGCACAGCTGCAGTGATTTAAGAGGGCTTTGAAAATGTCCTATTCCGGGGCTTACTTGAAACACTTTTGTGCAATTCACTGCTTGAGATGTTTGCCTTTTATTCCAACTGCTTAAATTTTAAAGGACTCTGCAATATTTCTCAGAATGTTTCTACTGCAGTCAAAAGAAATTGATTTCTGTTCTGACTTGCCCCTTGGTTATCCAAACTTTTTTAGAGTCAGGAGCAAATTGCAGGGTCAGATTCCCTCTCCGAGGTCGTGACAAGCAGAGAACCTGGAGTCTACTCTGGAAAATGTACGTCCCCTCTTCCCATCTTCATTGTCTTCTGAAGGAGGGTGCTCGTGTGGACGGGTTCTTCGCTCAATGTGCTGTTGATTTCTAGGTGCAGGGACTCTTTGGAAGAAAAGTTCAATGTTTTAACAGGAGGAGAATCATTGACTAATGGCTATAATAGCTATATATACTCTCACGTCAGAGGGAAGATGCTCCACCGCGTGGGTTCCGTCCCCTGGGTCGCCCCAAACATTATTCCTTAGCAGATGAGACTCAGAGTGGGTCACTTCTGCCAGACTTGATAGGGCTGGCGGAAGTCATTGGGAAGAGGCGGTCCCTCAAGTAACTCAGCCCTGTGCCACGGATGGCTTTAGAGGTCAGAAGCAGCACCTTGAGTTGGAGTGGGCAGCCAATGCAGCTTGTGGAGCAGAGGAACAATGTGTGCTTTATCAGAGAGAGGCTGGGCCAATTGTTAAGGTTTGGGCGGTGGGGGGAGGTCCTGTTGCGTGCCAAAAAGGGTAGAGCCTCAAATTTCATACCACCAAGGCCTAGCATGACATCAGCACCCAGCGCATCAGCTATTCTCTCTGAAACCTGTGACTTTTGGGGTGCCCTCTGAGTGACTCTCCTGTTTATTTAGCCCTTCTCTGAATGAATGCTACATGGCTGAAAGTATATTTTCCTATTTTGAATGTGTTTGTTAATTGCTAACCATTCTGAGATTTTTAATCATAAAATATAGCACCCAAATCTATGCCTCAGGTAGCTTAGCCCTGCTTTTCTCTGGTACTGGATTCCTCCCGATAATTATGGTTGGTTGCACAGTCAGCCAGATGTTTAGACTGGATTTGGCATTTTTGTCTATCCGGTTCCTTCCAAGGACCTGGAATAGGCAGATGTGGTTCAGTGGAGTTAAAGGTATTATCACAGGATGTAAGCTGTTCCAAGTAGAGTTGCCTGTTGCAATTGACCAATTGTGATTTTATCAATGCCGATGGCATTCACATGGTGCTCCAGATGGTTTGGGATTGCACCCACTGTGCCTAAGACTATTGGTACTATCTTTGCTTTCTCATTCTTATAATTAATATTGTTTTAAATTTATTATAGTTGCCCACTCTCATAGACTCTGGCTGGCTTACAGTTAAAAATATAGAATTCCAATGCGACCATTTCTTTATAATTAGGATCCATTTCATTGGAGAGGACTGGAGTAACTGTCTAGTTCCCTTTTGTGCTACTGTTCGTCCTTGCAGTAAGTTTAATGTCTACTCAGAAGCTGATCCTGTGCTACATCTGTCTCCTTTCAGGCCTGCTGCTGAATTTCACTGCTTCTTGGGGCGATTCCCATTACCTTGGACTGACAGGGCTTGAAGTGGTCGGAAAGGATGGCCAAGCACTCCCATTCTCTGTGGATCAACTCTCTGCTTCTCCTCAGGATCTCAATGATCTTGTGGAGTATGTGGACGATTCAAGGACCTTAGATAAGTGAGCATCGTTCATGAAACGGGAAGCGTATGAATAAGGCAGATATAGGCTGCTACTGATAGTATTTCAGGATAATGCTGTGCATGATGGGTCTCCATAAAATCTACAGCTCCAAGGAATCTTGATATTGAAAACTAGTGGAGTGCCTGACCATGGCACAGGAAGGGTGGTACATCCCCTCTGGGCAGGAAAGACAGTCCCAGCTCCCGGGGTTTGCAGTCAGCTGAAAAGTAATCACAACGGAGGAGAGGTTGAAATGCTATTAACTGCAAAGCAAGTGGCATGGCATATCTGTTTCTGCAATAAATGTGCCCGTATCCAAATTCCCCCCCCCCAGTCGGTTCCTGTGCTTCCTCCTAGGTTGATTGATGGAAAAAACATCACTATGGAAGATAACCACATGTGGCTCATTCCCTTTTGCCCCGGAGAAGATCACCTGGTAACCATCCATTTCACCCAAGTAGAAAATATTGCAGGGCTTCGCATCTGGAATTACAACAAATCTCCTGAGGACACCTATCGAGGGGTAAGGCCCAATGCAGAACCTTCCAGGAAACCCCAGGCGGAGAAAGACAGGAGCCGGATCCACCGGCAGGAGGTTTTCTGTGCCATTCCGCCTCTTCCCTCTGCTCAACCTTTGGGTAGCATGCTGGGCGGTCAAGTGGTGGGCGAGGGGGTTCGCTTTTAATACTCTTGATAGCAGGGGACTCCAGTTCCCCAGTGAGGGCCATTTCCCGTTTCCTGCTTTTCCCTAGGCTAAGATAGTCCACGTATGGTTGGACGGCTGCTGCATCTCCCCTCCAGGGGGCTTCCTTATTCGCAAAGGACCAGGCAACTGTCACTTTGACTTTGCTCAAGAGATCCTCTTCATCAACTACCTTGTGGGTCCCACAGTTGCTCTGGCACGTGAACGGTGAGTGGGCAATGGATTGTTCCACTGGATGACAAGGGTCATTTCAAAATGGGTTTTGTGGCAAGTAATGATGGCATCTCACAGTGCTGTGACAGTCTCCATCCTCACTGGACAGGAGTGAAGTGAAGAAGAGGGAGCAAGGCAGCATGGAGTACGAAGCACCACTGATGCCGTGTGGATGTATCCTTCTCCGTGAAGCTGGCTTTGGCCGTGGCAGTTGTGCCTCTGGGCTGGATGACGCTGGGGGCTGGGGGGTCCTCTACAGGCTGCCCTCCTAAAGGGGGTTCCCAGCTTCCCTGATTGCCCCTGATCTGTGCCCAGCTGCCCCTCCTTGCCAGACTCCTCACTGCAGACATCGGAGGCCTTTGTATTCCACAAGGCTGGCTTTTGTTCTTCGGCTTTTTGCCACCTGCTGCGGGTACCCAAGGAATGAAAGCCGGGTGGAAGAATTTTAACAAAGACGTATTTTCTCAATAACCTCCATCAGTCATCTTCCAGTTCCAGCTACTCACGAGTTGGGGTGATCCATATTACATTGGTTTAAACGGGCTGGAGCTGTATAATGAACACGGGGAGAAGATTCTTTTAAATGAGAACAGTATCCTTTCTGCCATGTAGACAGAACCGTTTTGGGGGGTGCCTCCCTTCCTCTGTAACTCACAGCCAAGCCAGGGAAAGCTGGCCAGAGCAGGGCCCCTGCAGGAAGAGGGGACCATGATCTTCCTGCCTTTGCCAGCTGCTCCTGCCGTGAGGCTTTTATGGGGCAGGGGGAGTTTTTCCTCCTCTGCCCTCAAAGGCTTCTCTTCAGATTGAAGGAGAGCCAAGCAGGGACCCAGGCCTTGTGTGCTCCTGCAGGTGCCTCAGAGGCTGTGAGACTTTGCATCGCAATGGGGCTGGGAGACCGTGCAGGCCAGGTGCTCTCCTTGATGGATGCCCTTTTTCAGACATTGCAGCTTTTCCAGACAGTGTCAATGTCCTGGAGGGAGTCAGCGGAGATATTCGAACACCAGACAAGCTCATTGACAATGTGAATCACAGCAATGATGGAAGGCACATGTGGCTTGCACCAATTCTGCCAGGGCTGGTATGCTCCCCTTTTGCATTGTCACGTGCGGTGCCTATCCGTCTGTCCGAAAGGCCAGGTGAACAGCTGCCCCAGTCGCTGAGGGATGAGCCTCTAATGGCCTTATTTGGGCACTGGCTTTTGTGGAAGAAGCGTTCCAGGGCTTGGGAAAGTACTATATCCTCGAGGGATCTGGGGAGCAGGTGGTCTTTAAGGGAAAAAGAGATGGGGGTCGCACAGGCAGCCAATTGTTTAGACCGGAGCTGGCATTTTTGTCCACCTATTGAATCCTTCCCAAGAATTTGAGATTGGCAGATATTGTTTTGATAGTGTTAAAGGTGTCAGCTCAGGATGCCAGCTGTTCCAGGTGCCTTTTGCAATTGATTTTGTCAGTGGTGCTCCAGATGTTCTGGAATTGGACCCAAGATACCCATTATTATTACTGATACTATCATTGCTTTCTTTTGTCACAGTTGTTAAAACTTCTATTTGTGGGTATTTATACTTTTTTTTTTTTCATCCCCCCCCCCAGTCTATAGTTTCCAGGTATTGCAATGTTCACTATCCAAACGTTATTGTCTTGCTGCTTATGTATGTATGTATTTCTTCTTCTTTGTGAAGAAGGAGTTTCCTCTCACCCCCACACTTGTTTACTTGTTAAAGGGCAAGAAGTCCAGTGATATCCTGGGCAGCCTCATTTTCCTTTTTCTTCCATTAACAGGGGAGGAGGAAAAACATAGATCCACATCCAGTTCACAGCCCAGCAACTTTAATCTGTTAATCAGATTTAGTTTCAAACATGTGCAAAACAGTTGTGACTGGAGTTAAAATAGTCCTCACTGATACTATTTCTTCTCTGCTTCATTCCTGGTGGTAGGTGAATCGAGTTTACATTATCTTTGACTTGCCAACTACCATTTCCATGATCAAGCTATGGAACTATGCAAAAACTCCCCAGCGAGGAGTCAAGGAATTTGGAGTAAGTGCCTGTTTAGAAACTACCTCACCTTGAACCACTAATTCAGCATTCATTGGGGGGGGAGAGAGAAGAGGGCGACTTCGTTTCTGTGTGATGATGAGACCCTCGAACCTTTTACTCCGTTTTTGGGACCCAGCTCCTTGTGGATGATTTGCTGGTGTACAATGGCATTCTCGATCTGGTGAGCCACCTGGTCCCTGGCATTCTTCCCACCTGTGAGCCTGTCATTCCCCACCACACCTTCCTCTTCACGGAGGACGAGAAGATCTGCCGGCAGGAGAGGAGCACCATGGCTAGGTGTGTAGGTACATTTGTAACTCTCTCTCTAGAGAACAGGTGATCGTTTTCAGCTTACTTTCAATCCGAGTAATAATAAACATCAGTAACATAAAAAGACCTTCTGCCTGACACATGTTTCATCTGACAAATTACATAGAAGCAAACAATAGGTAAGTAATTTGACAAGCATGGTCTGATGTGAGCTTCTGTAAGAGAGGTTTCCATGGTGGAGAACACTTTGCTTCAGGAATGTTCCTGTGCCAAACCCATCCCATCTTTCAGCTCCATGTCCCTTTTCCTGATTTCCACTGGGGACCTAAGGACAGAGGTGTGGGTGCCCCCGGGGGGGGGGGGCACAAGAGAAGAGCCACAGCGTTACCCAGCCCCCATCAAATCAGCATAGTGGGGAGGGAGGGCAGGACCATTATTTGAGAAGGGAATCGTAGGGAGGTTTGCAGATAGTTCCACTCCGAAAGTGACCTTTCTTCTGACCATCCAGGAAATCCACTGACTTTTTTCATCATTTTGGCTCAACAGCAACCAAATGGAGGACCAGGATGTGCGGCTGACGAATGAGAGCCAGCTTATCTCCTCCTCTTCCAGAAAGAAGCAAAAGGCAGCTGCTGATCCAGGTTGGTTCACCCTCATTGGCTTGGTTAGCAGGGATAATGAGGGGTGCCAGTCTGGTTGCCTTTCCTGCGATGACTGGAGGTTTCTTCAGACGGATAAAGACATCACAGCTGAGGGCACTCATCTCTTCTCTCCCCACCAGCTCTTCGTCCTAAAACCTGCATTCAGGACAAAGGACCATTGCGGAGAACAAGACATTGAGGAAAGAACAGGGGGGGGGGGGCAGTCTTCTACTTGGGCCCATTTCTTGCCCAAGAAGAGGGGGCAGCCTGGACCACTGGCACACAGTTCCCAACCGGAATCATGAGGGGGAACTCTGGGTGGGAGTGAACTGGCTGTTGGTGCTGCAGAGACCATCAGGAGCACTTCTGTCACCTGCAGATTGATTATAGCTCTCTTTGCTTCTTCTTCTCACAAGAGGCTTTGGCTGAACTCAAGCAGGCTGGGGTGTGTGCTGTGGAAAGAGGGTACGCAACAGCCCCAGAGGGGTCACGAGCTCGAGGAGGGGAGCTTTCTGTAACTTCCACAGGAAGCCTTAGGGGTGCCTTTGCTGACTGGGGGGGGGGGAAGGGGGAGAAAAGAAGGGCCCACACAGGTGCCATTAGGACAAAGGAACACACAGCCTCCCTCTGCCCCTTGTGCTTCACTGACATGCACATCGTGTATTTTCTCTGCAGTTTCAGAGACAGGATCTCACCCACTGTAGAAATGATCAGCATCGAAGTCCGGGGGGGTGCAGCCTTCAGTGGCCGAAGGGCTTCCTGTGCAATAGCTGCAGTGGCCGAAAGAGGCCGAGGGCTGGAGTGGTGGCCGAGTGTGACCAAGAGAAAGAGCAGCTGCAACTCCATGGCCAACCCTCTCTGCCATGGGCTGCCCCGGTTCTAACGTGGAATGAGTCACCTTAGGTTGGAGGCGTTTCCTGTAACCGAGCCAAAGGGCGGGAAGTGGCCGAGGTCCCCCTCAACAGCAAGTGCCTTATTTAAAAAGCTCCCAGTTGCAGCCTATCGACTGCTTGCAAGTACCAGATTCTCATGTTTGTGATGTTACTCTTTACTGTTTGTCGCACATTACACACAAACTCCGATTGCCTATAAACCACATTAACGTGCCCCCTTGGCTAGCACAAAGGATGCTCGGGGGGACGGCCATATTTCTTTGAAAGAAGATGGAAGCCTGGCAGGCCAATAGCTACAGAAGCTGTGACCTTTGGGCTTGCCAGCACCATCACTGGGACCCATTTTGATGGCTTGAGCACAAGGTCCAAAAGCTGCTTCTGCAAAGAATGAGGACCCGTGCCTTGTCTCTTCAGCTCAGTTGGGCCAGCCCTGCTCTCTCACCCTGGCAACCTTCACAAGCATTGCCTACATTCCCAGAGAGAAGTATGAGGGCACCACTCAATACGTCCCCCGCCGCCCCCCCCAAAAAAAGAGCTGCACTTGTTTTGAAGGACCACAGGTTTATTTTTGCTAGATACTTCTTAGGCGGACAACTCTTCTCCGCTTGCAACAGAGATGGTCTTGCACACAGTATGTCTTTCAGTTGACGTTTTCCATAGTAGGAGCAACTCTGGTTTTAGGTTAGGCTCAGAGTGAGGTTGCAGAAGATGAAGAGGTTAAACCTCGGCTTTTGTTGATGAGATCATTCTTGGTCCCTAAATGTTGCTGAAGTAGACTGAGAATTATGAGTGATTTTTTTCTAACAGGGCTTAAAGTGATTTTAATAGCCTACCAAGGGTTATTTTTCCCCATGTGTCCAACGGTAGCAGTACTAAAACGTCTCAGCTGAAACAAAGAATCATGGTTGAGGACAGGATTGGAAAGATCAGTTGCTTAGTGCTAAAAATAAATTCCTGGCTTTGAAACACTATTTACCCTTTTCATGATTTCTACTGCAGTCACCTGACGGTAAACGTTGGGCTGTGTGTGGTTGCTCTCCGGATCCGGTGTATGAACAAACAAGTGATCCTGCATATCCAATACAGAGAAGAGTTTAATAGAGAATTGATTACATTGCCTAAGTAACAAAGATTTCTACCGTTCTTCCCCATTCACCTTGCAGCATTTCACCTTTGCTGTCAGGTGCTACCCAGGCCTATTCTCAGCAGCTATTGGCAGCTGCCACGTCTGGCAATACTCTCCCTGCTTCCAACAGTCAATCAGTTAACCTCTGGCACCTCTGGGCCATCCCAGCAAAGGAATGGCTTGAGAAGGGTCAAGGCCACGACAAGGAATGGGTCTTAAAAGCCAGCCCAGTTGCCCAGGAGCCTTCCCTCGGGAAGCCTGGTTGAAGGGAAGCCCAACTGCCCTGATGCATTCATATGGCCTCGGGTACCCTGCAAACCGGCTGAAGATTAGTTAATACATTATATCATGTTTACCCCCCAAAAATGGCCCGAATACACCGGAGGCACGTGGTTTGAGCACAGACACATTTCAAGCCAATGAAAGGGCTTCCATTGCTTCTCTCTCTTGCCCTTCCCCTAACGTTTTAGCACATGAGGCAACAATGACAAAGGATCCATTCCTGTGCGGAGGACAGACAAGGGTGCTGCATAGCCCAGGCTTAAAGACGGTGGCAGAGGAGGCACACCACTTCCTATTTCCCAGGACCAAATTGCCAGGGCCTACTGCTAAGATGAGAACAGTGCCAGAAAACCCCTAAACCAGACAGCCATCAGGCATATAAAATGTTCCTGTCCAGATTAGGATGATCTGGTGTATCTTCTGAGATCTAAGAGCAGATGCTCAAACCTCCCTGCTATGTGGATCAGCAGCACAGAAAAGGCAGCAGCAGCAGCAGTGAAGAACAACATACATTTGGGCAGCCCTCAAATTCTCCAGTTCTCAGGAGCTTCTCTCAGAGGTCAGTAGTCCCCTGGCCTCTTCTGGAGGTATTGTTTCTGTAAAATGGCAGCAGCAGCACCCCACTGGCACCATTGTGATCCCTGCACAATTCAGAACCAGCAGATGCTCTGCAGCAAATGCAAGTTGCGGAGAAAAAGGAGAAACTTATTCCTGCCGGGATTTACTAGGGAGCAAACCAGAAGTCCCAGATGATAGGCAAGGAGGAAGTCAAAAGCAAAGACTTTGACCAAGAGATTACAGTCGGCAGAAGAGGATGCCGACTTGATCCACTGCCAAACAGGCACTCACTTCCTTGATTTGACTGAATTTAGCTTCAGTCGGGGCCAAGAATTTTAATGAAACACCCCTTTCAGCAAAGCAGGGCAGAGCTCCTTGGTAGCCCTCTTCCGCACAAGTGTCTCCCGTCCCTCTTCCACATCAGGCCCCAACATCTCCTTCAGCCTCTTTACAGCCCAAGCCGAGGGGTTTCCTCACAAAGAGGCACCGGGCCTTGGCTGCTCTTGCCATCCCACCTGCCCTTTCTACCCTTCAGGAATGTGTTGCTTGATAGTCCATCAGCGTATTCCTTCTATCAGCCTGCCATTCCCAACTATATTGTCAAGTTCCCTCCTCTCAGAATATTCCAACCCAAAATACAGGGCACTGCACAGTATTGGAGTCGTACTATTTACAACCTGTCTTCTTTCAGAATTTTGTTGCTGTTTTGCCATGTTTGAAATGCCCAACAGTTACCCCATTTTCCCAAGAGGCCTTTCTTTCCATCTAGTTATCTACGGATAGTGGCAACTAAAACAGTCCGTGGAAGCCTGTTTAACTTGCCTTCTGGAACTTTCTGGCAGGGAAAGGACTAGAATATCCCACTAACCTTGGTTGAAGGAGTTATTTGGTCACAGCAAGAAACCCTTTCTGGGATCCAAGGCGGCTTAGGCCAGCACATTACCCTGGTTTTTCCATGGATAAAAGCCACAAGGTAGCATGCTGCATTCTTCAAGGGAAGGGGCACAATTCCGTGCAGAATTTACTTTTCAGCTTACTTTGCTGACATAAAATGGCTCTTTCCCTCTCCATGACCGTCCGTGTCTGGAACTGAAGTAAGTGAAAGAAAGGCTCAGAACTCTCTGCACTTTTGACCCAGGAAAGAGCTACTCTCAGCAATAATCTAGTGCTCTTCTCTGAAAAGGTTGGATTTAACCCTGCAGATCCCTCTTGGCAGGAAACCCAAAGCAACCAACAATCAACCCACACTGATGAGACCAGAACCCAGGAAGAAATCAACGGACTGGGGCTGGCTTAGCACTGCTGGTTATTTTTCATCCTGAAGCAAAAAAAGTTCTTTCTAGCAGCCGCCTGCCTGCCTGCCGAGGCTTGGCATTCAGCACGATCCACTTAGCATAGGAAAAACAGCCACTCAAACAGAAACCAGGATTCAAAGGGTAATTTCAGATTATTCATTTATAGGGAATATAAATTGACACTGATTTTTCTGGAAGCTCGATTGAAGGGGAGGCCAGAAGATGCATCCAAATGAGTGCAGCCTACTCCTCCTACAACGTATCACGCACATTGTTGGTAATTCCCAATCCTGGCGTTTAGGACTGTAACCACAGTATTTGCTAGGCAGAAAAAAAAGGCTGCCTTTGTAATTGCGCTTTGCGAAGCGCACAGCCCTCTTTTCCTTCTGAAAAGTGTGGAGGGCAGCCTACACTGCTGCGCCTTCAGCCCCTGCTGGAAAAGGGGCTTGCGCACCGGAGTGCTGTTTGGCACAGCCGTGACGGCAGATTCAAAGAAAGAACGAGGTACAGAAAAGCTCCTTGGGGTGTGTTCAATAATTGGCAGGAAAAAAGCCTACTCTAGTTTTAATGGAGTCACGGATCAACAAAAAGAGGGAACGGTGTCATCTTCAGGCTTCATCACTTCTGGTGGTGAAGAAGTGCCAAAGAGAGTTCTACGATACATCACAACTTTATACTTTTAAAGTAGTCCAGATTTGTCTAACCCTAAAAGCATTTTGATTTTCAACTTATCTGAGCTGGGAAAAAAAGTAGGCAAGTCACTATTCATTTTTGCATATTAATATTAAAGATTTGATTGGATTTCTTTTCTTTAGGTAGACCAATATTTCACTAGAGTATACTGGAATCAAAATATTGTACCAAATAAAGAGAGTGTATCATTTCCCCAGCAAAAGGCTGCATGGATGAGGGCTTATCTTACGCCCACTTGTTTTGACATCTTGTGACGCACAAAGAGCCGTGACTCAAATACTGCACCAGTTAACCCAGATCCCACTGGAGGTGTTCCAATCCTCCTCGGGGCCAATCCTGCTGAGGGTCAGGCTGGCTCCTGCGTGTGGACAAGGAAGCTGA